AGAGAGATAACTTGTCTAGATTTTATTTCTGTTCATAAAATTGAGAAGCTTGAAACAAATGGACTCTATAACGTTTTTTCTTGCCCTACTATTTTATTATTTATTTGAGGCTTAAAAGACTATGATATTCATTGCATTGCCAAGAATCTGAAGTAGAGGTGATTGACACCAACCATGTGAAAGAGTAAAACAAGGGTCTTATATATGTAAGTTCAGTATGCTATGTGCTGCCATGTGACATTCTGAGAGCTTATAAGGACTTTATAGGAAAGCCACAAAGATGAGATAACAGGAAACTGAAACCTGGGATAGGTAGATAAATATATAAAGGAATTGATACTGTTTGTTCAAGAGGAATATGAGAAATACCTAAGAACAGTTGGAAATAATTTTCCCTTTATGCAACAAATATTTATAGCCTACTCTGTGCAGCCACTGTTCTTATCAAGGATCTGAGGATGAGATGAATTGAAGTTGGAATAAACTGTAGCAAATACTCCTTTTAGGAAGGAACGATTCTTCATCAGGGCCAGATGAACTAGATTGGGTCAGGGAAGGTGCTTGGGAGATCTCCTGTAGTCTTTAGAGATGATAGTCCCTTGTATTTCAGATGGTTTCGGAAACATCTTGCCCAATGGTACCCTTTGTGTGTCTTCCCAAATGGAATCCTTAATTTCTTTTCCACTCTTGCTGGCTTTGTTACCAAAAAAGTGGGAGATAAGACTTTTGCTAATTGCTCCATTTTTCTCCCAATTAAAATATGCTAGAGCTTAGAGTGATGGGGATAGCAGTATGCCAGGATAAGTAAGATAGAGTGGGATTTCAGGGGCGCCTGGGTGGCTCAGTTGGTTAAGTGTCTGCCTTCGGCTCAGGTCACGATCCCAGGGTCCTGGGATCGAGTCCCGCATCGGGCTCCCTGCTCTGCGGGGAGCCTGCTTCTCCCTCTCCCACTCCCCCTGCTTGTGTTCCCTCTCTCGCTGTGTCTCTCTCTCTCAAATAAATAAATAAAATCTTAAAAAAAAAAAATCAGTTCCCAGAATAATTGTTTCCAAACACAAGCACCAAAATACACTACAAAGCTAATTGTGGTCTTTAGGTTCCATGATGGACCCAGTGATGAATCAGCCTTCTGCTTACAATATTCTCTAAACCCCTTAAATGGGCCCCAGGATTTCCTCTACCACCTTGCCCTTAATTCAGCATGGCTTTGTGGGGTTCACAGTGTAGAAATGATTTTGAGGTAGTTCATTGTTTTGAAATTTCTTTGCCATTTCTTTCATTTTTTTGGATAAATAAAAGTTATCCATTCTTTCAGTGGTTTTCTCTTTTACATTTTTATGAAAGTAAAAACAGAGTACAGTAACTCTTTTTTTCAAGTTTTTATTGAAATTCCAGTTAGCTAACATACAGTGTAATATTAGTTTCAGGTGTACAATGTAGTGATTCAACAATTCCGTACAATACCCGGTGTTCATTGCAACAAGTGCACTCCTTAATCCCCATCACCTATTTTCCCCATCCCCCTACCCACCTCCCCTCTGGTAACCATCAGTTTGTTCTCTATAGTTAAGAGTCTGTTTCTTGGTTTGTCTCTCTCTCTTTTCTTTTCCCTTTCGCTCTTTTGTTTTGTTTCTGAAATTCCACTTACGAGTGAAATAGTATGGTATTTGTCTTTCTCACTGACTTATTTCACTTAGCATAATACTCTCTGGCTCCATCCATGTCGTTGTACTCTTTAACATTTATTTATTATTGTGAAAGCAGAACTGCACAGAGTGTTTATATGACTCATGATATGCTATTGGAACCAGCTGTTGATTCATAGACCTTATAGATCTATTCATAGACCTTATAGGTCTATTCATAGACCTTATAGAACCAAGGTCTCAAAATATGCTGTTTTACCCATAGTAAGATCTTACCTGTATCTTACCATATAGGAAATATACTATTTTACCTTTAATACTAAGTCTTAAGTGTCCTATATTTTTACTACAGCATCCTACTTAGACTTCATTTGATTTAAGCCTTAGTTTTGAAACTACAGACTTTATTCTAATAAGACAGCGATTTACTGTTTCATGATTAGGAATCTGTCTAGAGCCTTCTGACTCAAAGTGTGGCCCATGGACCAGCAGCATATGCATCATCTTTAGATTGTTAGAAATGCAAACTCCCTATCTTTCTCTCCCTACTTACTGAATCGGAATCTGCATCTTGACCAGAAACCCCAGTTAATTTGTGCGCATGTTAGGTTTGGGAAGCACTGGATTTAAATCTATGAATCACACTAATTCTAGCTGAGATTGCTTTGAGGTTGGTGGCAGAACAATTGTAAATTACATTTACCTTTGATCTGGAGAAAAGATAAACCCAACAACTGTGAATGACTTGCATAGTCTGAAAATACTTAAAATGATAAAAAGTGTGCAAATTACATGAAATCTGCAAGAAATTAGAAATACTGGCAAGAAATAAGATAAAAATTATCCCAGAGAATATGAAGTAAATGTGTGTGCACAAAGCATTCTGTAGTGCGTAGTATTGGGGAAATTGAACATGGAAAACATCATGATAGATGTGACATAGGCCTAATAGTAGACAGAAAGTCAGAAATTAATCAGTGATAGATCACAGTGGTCACTGTTCCATTGCTGGTTTGATTTGTTAGAGATTTTCTTAAAGGCAGAACCTAGTTGTGGCCTGTGTGCTTTTCATGCAGTAAGTGCCACTGTTTGCCAGAAAAACAAAAATAAACTGGAGAGTGTTAAGAGATGGGCTAGAAGATTGATTATGACATAGGAAGAACTGATTTATGAGGAAAGAGAAAAATAATTAAATGGGCAGCCCTCTGCTATAAGAAGAGGCTATGGAGACATGGATATTTATCTGATGTTTCTCTTATGCTGTTTCCTGTAGTGTCCATATGAAAGATGCAGAAATATTAGGAAGTAAGGATGCTGAGAAATTTGTTACAGGACAAAGCAATATCAGCTGGAACTACTCAATTAAATTATGAGCAATATCGAAGATTAAGTTTCAGAAAATTTTACCTGCTGCATGAGAAATGACCTTGAATGGGATGACTTTATCCCTGGGAACTTTTGAAAGCTCTGTGGGCGAAGAATGGAAGATCATTTGTTAAATTGTTGAATTATCTCCCCAGGGAAATAATTGGAACCCCATCCCTTGAAATTTCTAAAATTAGGGTGGATAAAAACCAGGATGTTGCCTATGGGAACTCTACTTCTGGCAGAAACCTGGTGATTGATGAGTGACGTTTTTCTTCTCCAATATCTTTGATTATTGCTCATGGTGACCATACACAGAAACATTTTTTCATCAGGTGGGTATCCTATTTAATTTTTTTTTTTAATGCTAGTTTCTAGAAAAAGAGTTGGAGAGTGTCACTCATCTGCTGTCCATGGTGTCTGCCTCCTTGGCAATGGTAGGCTTACTTGGCATTTTTTTTTTTTTTTCATTTCTCTTCACTACGTAATTCATTAAGAGACACAATTTAGTATATATTGGAAGTGAATTCATTTCCTACATTCTCTTCATTCAGAAAGCTAAAAAGAAAAGCCCCAAATATGCCTTGCCTTTTGGAGCCATTTGTCAAATGAATACAGAAACTCTGTATGAAACTCAAATGAAATCATCTAGTGCTTCAGAGAGTTTTGTGATCCTTTTTATCCAGATGAAAACCCAGCTCATGTTTGCCTAAGAGTAATGGTCCAAGAGCACGACATTGCCTTCTCCCTCCCTCTGTAGACTTTTCCCCTAATGATCTATATTAGCTGAAAAGGGGAGCTCAGAACCCCAATTCCATTGGTCACAAATAAAACACAACACAATTATTTAGTATTCTAATTATTACTTTACCTTTTCATGCTAGTTCCTTCACATCCACATTTTTATTGTCTAGGAGATCTAGCTTAATATAGGTGCTGCTAAGGATAATTTATATTGTATATGTTGACTGGAGATATTAGATATACTTCATGTTGGTATGTAGGAAGGTTTGCACCAAACTTAAATATTAAGTCACATTAATTAAACTCTATCACGTGTGCCGTAACATGAATTGTTTTTTTGTTGATGGTATTTTCTAAATCACTGTACAATTTTACTATTCATGACTTTGTGCTCCTGCTGTAGTTTTTAGAAATTCTATTTGTCTTTAGCCCAGAGTTCTTTCTCCTTTCCTTCTTGAGAGAGGTCTAAACCTAAACAAAAAGGTTAAGATTACAACCTGCTATTGTGTCCCTAATACAAAGATCATCTCCTCTGTATCCTGTTTCTGTGAAAATGGCTCTAACAAATTGCCAACATCTTACATGTGCAAACAACAACTGTCTCCAAGATGAAAACTAATTGGGAAATAAAAATAAAATTGATGGGTTACAATCTTTCTTTTTCTTCTCTTGCTTCCTGACTGATAGGCCTACCAGAGGGGCAGGGAAAAAAGTCCTTTTTCTTTCTAAATCGTTCTATTAGTGTCATATTGATTCTCTCTCAAGTACACCCCGTGGTCTCAGATGATCACATATTTTCTTACGTTCCTTGTATTGATACAGCATCTTGGCTCATGGGTTGACATGCATTGCTTGTACTGGGGCGACACTGCTCATCGTTGATATTCCTGGGGTGTACCAAGCCTCCTCGGCATGAAACAAGGGAACAGGTTGTTTCACAACAGTACTCTCATTCTTTGAAAAGTGATTATTGTTCACTCCAAGTGCTACCTTAAGTCTCTGTCAGCGTTGCTTAACATTGCTCATGACCTCTACAACAATACTTGAGTTCGTTTGTGTCTCTGCGGATGCAGGAAAAAAAGATTCCTCAGCTGAGTATCAAGATATTCTACTGTTACACTATTTGTAAGAAAAAAAGATGTATTATAAGGTGTCTGAAAGAATACAAGGTGACCTGCCTGCACACCGTTGCTCTGGCTCTCTTTCTTACCTTTGTATTCTCCCATCCCCCTCCCTCTGTTTCAGCTAGCCGTGAGGTGGTTGGAACACAACTGCCATTACCAGTACATGGATGAGCTCCTGCAGTATATTCGCTTCGGCCTGATGGACGTGGATACTCTGCATACAGTTGCCCTGTCCCACCCCCTCGTCCAGGCAAGTGAAACTGCAACAGCTCTTGTCAATGAGGCCCTGGAATACCACCAGAGCATCTATGCGCAGCCCGTTTGGCAAACTCGCAGGACCAAACCGCGGTTCCAGTCAGACACTCTGTATATCATTGGCGGGAAAAAGCGTGAGGTCTGTAAAGTCAAGGAACTTCGGTACTTCAATCCCGTTGACCAGGAGAATGCTCTCATAGCTGCCATTGCCAACTGGAGTGAGCTGGCTCCCATGCCTGTGGGAAGGAGCCACCATTGTGTGGCAGTCATGGGGGACTTTCTGTTTGTAGCGGGCGGAGAAGTTGAGCATGCTAGTGGCCGGACGTGTGCCGTGAGGACTGCCTGTCGCTATGACCCCCGTAGTAATTCCTGGGCCGAGATAGCACCCATGAAAAACTGCCGGGAGCATTTTGTGCTGGGTGCCATGGATGAATACCTCTATGCGGTTGGGGGTAGAAATGAACTGCGCCAGGTTCTGCCTACAGTTGAGCGATATTGCCCCAAGAAGAACAAATGGACTTTTGTGCAGTCCTTTGACCGATCCCTTTCATGTCATGCTGGATATGTGGCTGATGGTCTTCTTTGGATATCAGGTAGAACATGCCTCATAATGTTGGATTTATCAAAAAAACACTTTTGCTGTGGCGTAAATTTAAAAGTCGAGCTTTGGTAGTCATGGCCATGTATAATTGAACCACTGAACCAAGGATGCCATGTTAGCTAATTAACATTCATTTATTGGGCACCAGCTCTATAGAGAGCAATGTTAATTGGAAGTAATTGACCTTTCTGTGACTTTCTGAGTGATTAAAGTATAAGGTGGAAATTAATGGCCCATCACATCCTTTTTCTATACCAAACCTTCTATTGTTTAGATTGTCCGTTTTTGATACTCATGGATTGTTTTACACACCTTGTGGTTTATCCAGGTTCTTCACTTTTTTTTTTTTTTTTTTAAATCATACTGGGCTGCTTGACTAGGAGATGTTTCATCAAAGACAGGGCAGGCAAAGTAAAAACCCAAGAAATCCATTTTGATGGGTATAAAACAATGGGTATATATACCAGGTAGGAGCCATGCTGTTCATGGAAGGAAGGGATTTAAGTTATTGACTAAAATAATGTTCTTGTATTATCTGTGGATTGTAGTTACACCTGACAACCTAAATTCCTTATTCTTGCTTACTCTCCCATTATTACTGATTATTTGGGGGTACTTATTATTTTACTTTACATTTTCTTCAGTTTTTTTAAAGCCTTTTGATTATGAAAAAAGAGGCTAGTATAATGAACTCTGTGTATCCATGACCCATTTTCAGCAGTATTCCACTCATTGCCAGTCTTATTTCATCCATACCATACACTGCTGTACACCCCTCATGGCTACCTTTTCACTGGTACAGAAGAAGTCTCTGAGGCAGCAATTATCAACATCACATGATCAACCTATATTTTCCAATCCAATTCTTGAAAAGACCTAACCTGTCCTTTGAAAGGGTTGCCTATTGGGGAAGAAAGTTCCATCTTCTCTCAGGTGGAGGATACTCATTTTGTAACCCAAATGGCACTTGTTGAATTTCCATGTCAAGGACAAAGAAAAATAGGAAAATCAGATAATTTAAATACTAAGAGTAACTTTGAGATGTTTGTACTTAGAAGACACAATCACTTTTTTTTTTTTTAAGTCTCTATGTCTTAATCCCTTTCATGTATTTCACCCATCCCCCTACCTACCTCCCCACTGGCAAGCACCAGTGTAGTGTGTTCTCTGGATTTATGATTCTCTTTCTGGTGTTTTTTGTTTGCTTGCTCATTTGTTTTGTTTTTTTAGGCTCCACCCATAAGTGAAATTATATAGTATTTGTCTTTTTCTGACTTATTTTACTTAACATAATACCCTCTAGGTCCATTTATGTTGTCACACATGGCGAGACCTCATTCTTTTTTTTATGGCTGAGTAATATTCTGTTATGGATATCTTCTTTATCCATTCATATATCAGTGGACACTTGGGCTGCTTCCATAATTTTGCTGTTGGAAATAATACTGCAATAAATATAGTGGTGCATAAGTCTTCTCGAATTAGTGTTTCTGTATTCTGGATAAATACCCCATAGTGGAATTACCGGATTGTATGGTAGTTGTATTTTTTTTTAAGGATTTCATTTGTTTATCTGAGAGAGAGAGAGAGAGAGAGCACAAGCAGGAGGAGCTGCAGAGGGAGAGGGAGCAGCAGACTTCCCACGGAGCAGGGAGCCCAATGCCGGGCTCGATCCCAGGACCCCTGAGATCATGACCTGAGCTGAAGGTAGACGCTTAATCAACTGAGCCACCTAGGTGACCCTCCTTCATCAATGTTTTATAATTTTTAGAGTACAGGTCTTTCACTTTCTTGGTTAAATTTATTTGTAGGTAGGGTGCCTGGGTGGCTCAGATGGTTAAGTGTCTGCCTTCGGCTCAGGTCATGATCCCAGGGTCCTGGAATCAAGTCCCGCATCAGGCTCCCTGCTCAGCGGGGAGCCTGCTTCTCCCTCTGCCTCTGCCTCTCTCTCTCTCTCTCTGACTCTCATGAATAAATATATAAAACATTTAAAAAATTATTTGTAGGTATTTTATTCTTTTTGGCACAATTATAAATGGAATTGTTTTCTTAATTTCTCTTTCTGCTACTTATTAGTGTATAGAAACTCAACAAATTTTCATATATTGATTTTGTGTTCTGTAACTTCACTGTATTCATTTGTCAGTTTTAGTAGGCTTTTTTTGGTTGAGTCTTTAGGATTTTCTGTATATAGTATGATTTCATTTGCAAACAGTGAAAATTTTACTTTTTCCTTACAAATTTGGATGCCTTTCATTTTTTTTTTTCCTGGTCTGGTTGCTGCGGCCAGGACTTCCAGTACTACGTTGAATAAAAGTAGTGAGAGAGTGGACATCCATGTCTTGTTCCTAATCTTAGAGGAAAAGCTCTCTCATTTTTTATCCCTTTAAGTATGATGTTAGCTGTGGGTTTGTCCTATATGGGCCTTTACTATGTTGAGGTATGTTCCACCTAATCCTACTTTGTTTAGGGTTTTTTATCATGAATATGATATACTTTGTTAAATGGTTTTTCTGCATCTATTGAAATGATCATATGGTTTTTATTCTTTCTCTTATTGATGTGATGTATCATGTTGATAAATTTGTGAATATTGAACCACTCTTGCATCCGAGGAATAAATCCCACTTGATCGTGGTGAATTATTTTTTTAATGTGTTGTTGGATTTGGTTTGCTAATCTTTTGTTGAGGATTTTTGTGTCTGTGTTTCATCAGAGATACTGCCCTGTGTCTTTATCTGGTTTTGGTATCAGGGTAACACTGGCCTCATAGAATGAATTTGGAGGCTTTCCTTCCTCTTCTATTTTTTGGAATAGTTTAGTTTGAGAATAGGTATTAACTCTTCTTTAAATGTTTGGTAGAATTCACCTGTGAAGCTGTCTGGTCTGGACTTTTGTTTTTGGGAGTTTTCAGATTACTGATTTAATTTCACTGCTAGTAATCCATCTGTTCAAATATTCTATTTCTTCCTGATTCAGTTTTGGGAAGTTATATGATTCTAGGAATTTATCTAGTTCTTCTAGGTTGTCCAATTTGTTGGCATATAATTTTTCATAATATTCTCTTATAATGCTTTGTATTTCTGTACTGTTGGTTGTTACTTTTCCTCTTTTATTTTTGGATTTGAGTCCTCTCTCTCTTTTTTTTTCTTTTTGATGAGTCTGGCTAAAGGTTTAATCATTACAAAAAACCAGCTCCTGGTTTCATTGATCTGTTCTACTGTGGGTTTTTTTGCTCTTTTTTGTTTTGTTTTAGTTCCTGTTTCATTTATTTCTGCTCTAGTCTGTGTTATTTCCTTGTTTCTACTGGCTATTTATTTATTTATTTATTTAATTTTTTAGTCATCTTTTTCTAGCTCCTTTAGGTATAAAGTTAGGTTGCTTATTTGAGATTTTCCTTGCTTCTTGAGGTAGGTCTGTGTTACTATAAATGTCCCTCTTAGAACAGCTTTTGCTATATCCCAAAGATTTTGGACCATTGTGTTACAATTTTCATTTATCTCCCAAGTATTTTTGGATTTCCTCTTTGATGCCTTAGGTGACCCATTCATTGTTTAGCATCATGTTATTTAACCTCCATGTATTTGTGTTCTTTCCAAGTTTTTTTCTCATGATTGATTTCTAGTTTTATAGTGTTGGGATCAGAAAAGATGTGTGGTATGACTTGTCTTTTTGAATTTGTTGATACTTTTTTTGTGGCCTAATGTGTGATCTATTGTAGAGGATGTTCCATGTGCAATAGAAAAGAATGTGTATTCTGCTGTTTCATGGTGGAATGTTCTGAATGTATCTGTTGGATCCATCTGGTCCAATGTGTCATTCAAAGCCACTGTTCCTTGTTGATTTTATGTTTGAATGATCTATCCATTGATGTAAGTGTGGGGCTTACTATTTTGTATTACTACAAAGTCCCCTACTATTTTGTATTACTATTGATTACTTCCCTTATGTTTGTTATTAGCTGCTTTATGTATTTAGGTGCTCCCCTGTAGGGTGCATAAATATTTATGATTGTTATATCTTCTTATTGAATTATTCCCTTTATGATTATATAGTGCCCTTCTTTGTCTCTTATTACATACAGTCTTTTTTGAAAGTCTGTTTTGTCTGATGTAAGTATTGCTACCCTGGCTTTCTTTTTTACTTCCATTTGCATGATAAATGCTTTTCCATCCCTTTACTTTCCATCTGCATGTGTCTTTAAGTCTTAAATGAATCTTTTGTAGGCTGCATATTGATGGGTCTTGCTTTTTTATCCATTCTGTCACCCTGTGTCTTTTGATTAGAGTGTTTAGTGCATTTACATTCAAAGTAATAATTGATAGGCATGTACTTAGTGACATTTTGTGACTTGTTTTATGGTTGTGCTTATAGTTCTTCTCTATTCCTATCTTTTCTTGCTCTCTTCTCTCATGGTTCATTGACTTTCTTTAGTGATATACTTGGATTCCTTTCTCTTTGTTTTTTCCATAACTCTCCCTGGTTTTTGATTTGTGGTTACTATAGGTACATATATAACATCTTATGCATACAGCAGTCTATATTAAGTTGATGGTCACTTAAGTTTGAATGTATTTTTTTTACCGCCCCCCTCCATGTTTTAGGTATGTATATGGTGTCATACTTTACATCCTTTTATTCTGTGAATCCCTTGACTGATTTTTTAAAAAGATTTATTTATTTATTTTAGAGAGAGAGACAGAGAACACAAGCAGGAGGGGCAGACGGAGAGAGAATGTGAAGCAGACTCCATCTCAAGCCGGGAGCCTGACCCAGGGCTTGATCTCAGGACCCTAAGATCGGACCTGAGCCAAAACCAAGAGTCAGACAGTTAACCAACTGTACCACCCAGGCGCCCCATCTTGACTGATTTTTTTAAAAGATTTATTTACTTATTTGAAAGAGAGAGTGGGTGTGTGCAAGTGGGACGGGAGGGGCAGAGGGAGAGGGAGACAAACAGACTCCCTGCTGAGTGGGGACCCTGATAGGACC